AACTAGCGCAGAATGGCCCCAAATGCTGCCAATTTTGTCAAATAGCCTCATTTTGTGTTCAAAACTAATTCGGGATGACTCGACGTGGACGGTGAGGTAACTTGATATATATTCTCAGGATGAAGGTATGGAATTTATTTAAATCATGGGCTCGAGGGATTTTTAAATTGGTAGAATTGGAAAAATTATTTGATCTAAATGGGAAAATTCGGAGGTTTGAGGATTTAAATTGATGAAAATTGATAAATTACTTGATTTATGTGGAGAATATGTGATATATTCGTGTATATATGTGACTTATTCGTGTACATTATTGACTTGTTCGAGAAGACATTATTGCAAACATTCATGGAAATTATTTGACGTGGAGAATTAGTTGTTGGATTCGAGGAGAATTATTTGATTCGTTTGTGTAATTATGTGATTTATTTGAGGAGGCTAATTGATATATTCGTGAGGATTATTTGATTTGCTCGAACGATTACTGGATTTATTTGCGATGATTATTTGATTTATTCGAGGAGAATATTTGATTTATGCACGGAAGATTATTTGATTTGCCCGAGCGATTATTTGATTTATTTGTGGATGATTATTTGACTTAATGGAGGTGATTACTTGACTAGATCGAGGATGTGTTATTTAGTTCGAGGAGATATTATTTTGTTCGAAGTGATATTTTGTTGTGATCGAGGATACATTATTTGAATAATTCATGAGGATTATGTGACTTTTTCGTGGAAATTATTTGACTTATTGGAGGAGAATTATTGAATTTGCTCGAGATATTATTCGATTTATTTTTGGATGTATTTGATTTATTTGAGGAGGTGCTATTTGATTTATATGTGGAGGTATTTAATTTGTTCGAGGAGAGATTTTTCGACTTATTCGTGACCATATTTGAATTTCTGTTGAGGAAACGACAAAATAACCCAAGTCTTGACAAGCTATGGCGGACGGGCCGTTGAATGTCGAGGACAAAAAAGGACGAGCATGGATGAGGTCGATCACCGGTGGTAATCTCAAAGGCAAAAGTCATTCTCTTTTGGGAGAGTTAAGACGATTTGAAGTGGTATTCTCGACCGTCAGGTACAAAACTATTCTCAACTCTTGATTTGGTGGTCGCGTTTGATCAACACACAATTTATGGACAAGTTGAGGCTTTCAACATTATTTTGTAGAGGTGTTCATTGTTTGAGTACTTTGGGCGAATTGTTGAAGAGACTGTGATGCACATGAGCATGGTTGGATTTCTATTTGGATGACTAACAAAATTATCGAGTGTTATTATACTTCGTTGTGTTCGATGTTTTTCTTTTCGACCTCAGTGCAGGTCAAAGAATTCGAGCACAAGTCGTCATGTACAACCAGGAAATGGAGGTCGAAAAATATGCTTGATTCTTATCTTGCTCGATATAATTATGAATATTATGATACTGACAAAAATGATCAATTACTATCATATCTTTTTTGCTCGATGTGTTCCTATTTAACCTCAGTGGCAGGTCGAAGTATTCGAAGAAAAAAATCCACCATGACTAAGGCCTCTGGGCTGGGTGGTCGCATGTAATGACCACTCCTTCGAGGGTGGGCATGTGTTCGAAGACAAAAAATCCACC